GCTGCAAAGCAATTCAGAAAATGCACCTGTTAAGGGAAACCTTCTTGTACTGTTGGTGGGAATGTAAACTGGTGCAGCCACTCTGGAAATAGTATGGAAGTTCCTCAAAAAGTTAAAAATAGAACTACCCTATGATCCAGCAACCACACTACTCAGTATTTACCCAAAGAATACAAAAACACTAATTCAAAGGGAATACATGCACTCCAATGTTTATAGCAACATTATCAACAATGACCAAATTATGGAAACAGCCCAAGTGTCCACTGATTGATAAATGGATAAAGAAGATGATCTATATGACATGGAATATTACTCAGCCATACAAAAGAATGAAATCTTGCCGTATGCAACAACATGGTTGGAGCTAGAGAGTATTATGCTAAGTGAAATAAGTCAGTCAGAGAAAGACAAATATCGTATGATTTACACATATGTGGAATTTAAGAAACAAAACAAATGAGCAAAGGGGGAGCAAAAACCAGGGAGAAAGACAAAGCAAGAAACAGACTCTTAACTGTAGGGAACAAACTGATGGCTCCCAGAGAGGAGGAGGGTGAAGGGATAGGTTAAATAGGTTATAGAGATTAAGGCATGCACTTGTCATGATGAGAGCTGGGTGATGTATGGAAGTGTTGAATCACTATATTGTACACCTCAAACTAATATAAACTGTATGCTAAGTAATTGTGATTTAAATAAAAACTTCTTAAAAGTGTACCCCTATTAGCTTCCCAGCCTCTTAGAAGAAAAGACCACATGGAAGGGGAGTGGGAATGGTAGCTAGTGCTTCAATCTTTAGTACTGCTACATAGATATATGATTATTTATTTATATATCAGCTTCCCCTGGTAATCAGTTGGCCTTGAATCAGTATTGTAACCTCGCACCACCCATCAAATCTGGCCATATACTTCATAACATACAAATAAATAAGATATCCTAGCCCCCGATTTGTCATTTACAAATGATTTAAACATTTAATTAGTTTCTGTGTGTTTACTTACTTGATGATATTATGCCTATATATCTTTAAGAAAAAGAAAATAAATAAAATAATTTATTATCTCTATTTTGAGAAAACTGAAGGAAAAAGGATGACTCATTTAACCTAAGTCATTTGACAATTCAACTTAAGGAAGTAACAGAGCCTGGCCTAGAATACAGGTTTTGTGAGTTCTTGATTAGTGTCCTTTCCACTCTACCGTGCACAAATAAACATTATAACCCACAAGGAAATATTCACCTAACTACAGCCTGACTTGCCCATGTGTAAATAAACCAAGGCAACAGGAAGAAATGTGGAGTTGAGGCAGGGGAGATTGCAAACAGACAAAAGCTCTCTGGACAAACCTCAAACTTCAGTGCTTTATGTAAGGATGAAACCCATAGAACATATTCTTTTCCTCAAATGTTTAATTTGTTATTCTTTTATATGTAGAAATTAGACAACATTCCGAAAATCTAACAGCAGTCTGTGCTCTTTCTCTGAATTCAAATAGTCCACTTTTATTGAACATTTTACTAAGCTTAGATAAATCAGAGAGATTATCCAAACGCATTCAGCTCATTGTAAAAAACACCAGAGAGACCTTTAAAAGGATTGTAAACACTCTCAATCAAACTAGTTCTCACAGAAAATGTGTTAAAGGACATAGGACACAGTTAAGAAGCTGGAAGCGGGATCCATTTCCACAGCTACCATTTAAATTCACTCTTTTGTTACCTCCATCTAGAATTCTTTAACAGCACTCCCAATGGCCTCCCCTTTCTAATCTTCCTCCTCCAGTTTGACCTTGAAACACTGTTTTTAGATTAGTCTTGAAAAAATATCATGCCATTCTACTGTTAGGCAAAGTGATGAAGGACTGATAGCCAAAAAATCTTGGCTTGGGCTCCTAAACTCTGGTCTTGGGCAAAATATACTTTTCCTGAAAATACTATTCTGAGCCAGTGTCTCTCTGTTTTTCCGTCTCTCTTTCTCATCAATTAAACTGTTTCATAATCCCTTCCAAAAACATGGTTCATATTATAATTAAATCAAGTGATTAATTTGAAAAAATGTTAAGCACTTTTAAATATTCCAAAATAGAAAATAATAAAATATTTTGAGGTTATCAAGCCAATAATCTAAACTCAAAAGTCAACAGATAGGCTATATAAATTTTAATTGTGACCATATTTGTATTCTGATACATCATTTTCTTTTATTGGTGAACATCTGTGAAAATAAAATTAATTTTGTCCACTTTTAAATAAAACATGATTTATTAGTTCAAGGTCAAATTCCTCAAATTATCCATTATACTCATTAACCATTAGAAGTCTTATTTTTAAAACATTCAGTCTTTATTTTAGTGTTCTTTTTTTTTTTTTGCTTTTCTATTCTCTCCACAAGTACACACGTGCATGTATACAGACACACACACACACACACACACACACACACACACACAAAATCCTCATGTTAGTCATAATGCATTTATTAAATAAATGATGATATAATCTAAGTATTTGAAACATAATAGTAAGAAATGTTTTTAAATATTATTTTAAAAAGACAACTTGTTGACTGTTATGTACCTATGTTATGTACCTAGGATTTAAACAGTCCTAAGAAGTTCAAAGGGTGAAAATGATTGCACTGTGTTAGAATTCTACAAATCAGAGCAATATTCTCCAATAAAATAAAGGTGCTTCTTTTTTTTTTAAGTGTATTTATTTTGAAATAGAGAGAGAGGGAGAGACAGCATGTGGAAGGGGCAGGGAGAGAGGGAATCTCAAGCAGGCTATGCATTGTGAATGTGGAGCATGTGGAGTTTGAACTTACAGTAAGATCATGACCTGAACTGAAATCTAGAGTCAGACACTTAACCAGCTGAGCTACCCAGTTTACCCAAAAATAAGTAAATATTATTGTAATGCCATGTTATCAGTAGCTTTATTATTATCCATCTCTTATTCTTCCATAAAGAACTCAGACCACATTGACAAATTCTACAGCTAGGAATACATCTTTAAAAACACATTTAAGGGGCACCTGGGTGGCTCAGTCAGTTAAGCCTCCGACTTCAGCTCAGGTCACAATCTCACGGTCCGTGAGTTCAAGCCCCACGTCAGGCTCTGGGCTGATGGCTCAGAGCCTGGAGCCTGCTTCCAATTCTGTGTCTCCCTCTCTCTCGGCCCCTCCCCCGTTCATGCTCTGTCTCTCTCTGTCTCAAAAATAAATAAAAAACGTTAAAAAAATTAAAAAAAAAACAACAACAACACATTTAAGGTGGTCAGCTATTATTATGTAAATAAAGACATCCATATTCTTACTTATTCTACACTTCACCTCCATATAGTATAAACTCAACTTAAAGAAAATATATAGCTAAGATTAGCATCCCTAGATTCTTTTATGAAATTGATTCAAGCTACTGACCAAAATAAATGGTCTGCTTCAATAACATGCCATTACTTTTCAATTGTACTGGTCCCAACTTGTTCTTTTTATTAAACAAAATAAAAACTTGTTTATCAGATAAATTAATGTAGTTGTATATAGCTCTAATACATTTTTCATGGCTGACTAGTATTTCCTTGCATGAATATACCACAATTTACTGGCCTATTCATTTATTGATAGACATTTAAGGCATCTCACTCTTGACCTTTATGAATTTGCTGACATGAATACTTTTGTAAGGGTCTCCTGGTGCAAATGTGCCAAGATTCTCTAGGGTAAATATGTAGGCATAGAATTGCTGAGTCATTGAGTGTATGCATGTTCAGATTTACCAGGCACTGCCGAATATGTATGTCCTACTTTGTGTGACTCTCTCAGAACTGTCTATTCATCTCAGGTCAAATCACAGGGGGCATGGCAGAGGCCCTCGGGGCCAACCCACAACCTTGCTTGCTTTGTCTTATTTGGGTTGATGATTTCCTTACATTCTGGCCATGGAATTTTTTCAAAAATATGTTTATTTGTCCTGCATGTTATATACTACTGTGGGAGAGTTTTAAGTTTGGTTGTTTGTTTGTTTGCTTAGTGTACCCTAACCACTCTGCTGAAAATGTAAATTTAGGTACAGTCTAGTCAAGTCCTTTTGATTTATCTTTATCTTGCATCACTTTTTGCCCTCACAGATTATCCGTCTGTCATTTCTACTTTTAGTTTTAAGATTTTTTGAAAAAAAAAATTACTTCTTTTCTTTCAGATTCCATCTCTAATTCTCACTTTCTTTTTTTATTTGTTCGGTGGCTTGCATTACTCTTCGATGCGTATCATGCAAATTCTAGAGTTGCTCTAACTCTTTCTTCATTACAAGGAACAAGTATCATAGATTATGTGGTGATAATTGGCAGTGGGCAGAAGAACAGTCATTAAAAACAAATACAAAATGTAACAGCCACAGTCCAAACAGGAGATAGAATCCACATCATAATTTGAACAGTGAATGTTTAAAATTAAGAATTATTAACTCTAACAGGGCCCTGGCACCTGAGGAGTATGGATAACTTTAGACAATAAAGCAATAGCAGATAGAAGAATCAGCCCGCACTCCTGGGACTATGATAATGTGTGCAAAGAAGAGGCTTCACATCCACAAGTGAGCTCCAGAACTTGGTGAAGAGGGTCTGGCCAAGGTACCTGAATGACAGAGAAATCACTTTGAAACTATACTAGAGGGACTTGCTTGAAATCTGCCCTCTGGACCTTGCCCAAAGTCTCCTGTGTTGCAAGAAACGTTGTTTGGGGTAGGGTGTCTTGCTGGAGACATTCTGTTACAAAACTGTCCAGAGAAGGTGCAGGGGGAAGCTGTTTGCCATTGGCTGTTGCTGATCCTGGGGCACTGAGTTCTCCCAACAATCAGTAAAAGGACCTTGAGTTCAAGAACAGAACACAGCCCTGCCACCAGCAAGACGATAACCTTGTCGAACCCTGAACAGTGGACCAAGTTAAGCTGATGGACCCAAACTCCTCACTCATAGAAACTATGAGACAAGAAATGTATGTTGGTTTTAGCTGATCCGTTTGGGGTAATTTATTATGCAGCAATAGTTATTCTTTGGAAACAGTATTTTGACCCTCTGTAACATTATTCCTGGAGCCTTGGCTAATCTTGAATGTAGCTAGTGGAGAAGAATCCAGGTTTTGCCACAGGAGAAGGATGCATCTAGAGTGAAAGATTGTAAATATAAAGGCATCAAACACAGGGTGAATTTTCCCCATGAGACATTTACTGAATTATGAAGTTGAGTAAGACGGGAAACTCAACACTTAAACCACAATTCTCTAAAATACTGAGCTTCATTGATGGCAGTCTTTCATATTAAGAAGCAAAAAACCACTGAGGAGATGCTTCACAGTCATAACATGCTGTAACTTGAAGTTCCGGAAGAGATATAACCTAGAAAAGGGGACAAAGAAATATAGATTGACTATTACAGCTTACTCTCTGATTAGATTGAGATGGTTAGTCACCTACTCTGTCTGCTAGGAAAATAAAAATGTGAAATTCCTTATGGTAATGCAGTATCACGTGAGGTCTCTACAAATGTTTTATGCAGTCTCTGGAGTTCAATTATAGTAATTTAATTTTTAAAATTCATTTCAAAAGAAAGTACAGAATTATTAAACAAACAAACCCAAAATAAAACAGATTTACAGATGATCCAGATCTAACCAACAAGGATATAATTATGGTTAATTTGTTTAAGAACATACAGATAAAAAAGGATAAAACAGGGTACAATATTGAGAATTTCATAAGAGAATTAGAATCTAAAAAATATAATAAAATAGAACTTACAGAAACTGTAATAGAATATGTGAAATGGAAAGTAGATTATTTTAATAGCATAATAATCTAAGAGAAAGAGAATTAGTCAACTGGTCAAAATAAAATATTTACGCTGACACAGAGAAGAGTAAAAGGAAAATACAGAGAAGAGTGTAAGAGACCAATGGAATATACAAGAGTTGCACTAGCTGTAATTGGAGTTCTAGTCAAAGAGAAAGAATTGGGCAGCAGGAAAAATTAAAAAGAGAATGAGTCTTAAAATTACTAACTAATGATACTAAATCACAGGACAGAAATCTGTGCATATACCCAGAAAAATGTATAACAATCAAAGCAAATCAAGTAATACACTTCAGTACATCATAGTCAAAATAATGAAAAGGAAAAGGAAAGAAAGAAACAGAGAGAGAGAAGGATAGAGAGAACATGTTAAAAGCAACCAAAGATAATATAGACATAACATTCAGGCACCTAGGTGGCTCAGTTGGTTGAGCATCTGACTTTAGCTCAGGTCATGATCTCAAGGCTCATGAGTCTGAGCCCCACAACGGGCTTTCTGCTGCCAGCCTGTCAGCATAGATCCCACTTAGGGTCTTCTGTCCCCCACTCTGCTGTCCTCCCCCCACTGTGCTATCCAGAAAATAAATAAATATTTTTTTAAAAAGAAATAGATGAAACATTCAAGAGTAACAGTCTGATAGGTAGCTGAAATATTATAAAAATGTAGCAACCAGTAGACAACATGTGGCATCTTTAAAGTGCTGAACACAAGTAAATGTCCCTTCAAAATCTTCTGCACTGTAATTATTTCTATAAGTATGAAGACAAATTAGAGATATTTTTGAATAAATGAAAACTGAAATAAACTGTCACCAAGAGACCTGTATTTAAAAAACGCCAAGGGACAGAGAACAAACTGAGGATTGCTGGCAGGGAAGTGGGTGGGGGTATGGCCTAAATAGGTGATGGACATTAAGGAGGGTGCTTGTTGGGATGAGCACTGGGTGTTATATGTAAGTGATGAGTCACTAAATTCTATCCTGAAAACATTATTACACTGTATGTCAACTAACTTGAATTAAAATAAAATTTAAAACAAAAGAAAGAAAAAAACATTTTAATAAAATATTGATAAATAAATAAACAATACTTTCATACATACATACATACATACCTCAATAAAGCTAACGGGCATTATTTACTCAGAAGGAAATGATACCAGAAGAAAAGACAGAGAAGCAGAAAAGAATGAATAAAAACAGCATAAAATAGAAGTTAAGATTGTATAAAAATGAGTATGCTGTATAGAGTTTTAAATATATACATAATACAATTCTTGAAAAGAAAAACACTAAATAGGGGATGAGGATAAATGGAATTTGTAAAACTTATCATTTATATTAGGTTATGAGAAGTCAAGTGTGCATGTTGTAATACCTTGAAGTAAAAATATTTAGTGTAAAAAATTTCAGTAAACTGAAAAAATAGTGAAGAAATGTATACTAACACCTTAGTAGAGAAAAAGTTAAACAATAACAATAAACATTACATTAATACAAAAGAAAGCAACAAAGGAAAGAAAAAAGGAATATAAAGCCCCTAGTAAAAATAGGAAACATGTAGTAAAATTTTAGATACAAACCCAAGTATATCAATAAATTAAATGTAAATGATCTAAATATACATACAACAAGGGTTTATATTAAGAATCTATAAAGTACTACCACAAATCATAAGGACTAGATAGAAAACCAAAAAGATATGTACAAAATATTTATATAAGACAATCTGTGCTATACGACTTTGTTAAGTTTACTTAAATATGCCATTGATAGAGTTCTAGAAAGATAGTCATCAAAATCTTAGAGGTGGTTTCTACTGTGTCAACATTTAAATGATGTTAATGTATTTATTATACAGTTCTTTACTATATTATTTATATATTAGCAATATATAATTTTTTATAATTTGGAAAACACTTATTTTTATTATATATTCACCTTGTAGGTCTTGTCTTCATTTCCCAACAGCTAAACTTGTGTCAGAGCTACATAGGAAAATTATTTAAGCCTCTTCCCTCATTAATAACCCGTTTAAGTTTCTAAAAAATTCAATTCTCCTTCCCAAGGAATTAAATCAGATTCAATAAAACTTATTAGCACCTTACTGAACATATTGTACTTCCATTTTAAAGATGCAAAATACCTGAGGCACAGAATACCTTCATTAGAGCTGCGTTAGTGACAGAATTTGGTTAAAAGCATTGCATGTATTTCTCTTGCTTAGTGTGAACCCAAGTGCTGTGAAACATGGGATAAAAATGGTTCTCTTATAAATGGAAATAAGCTAAGGTAGAGTAAAACCTATGGTCAAAAACTTACAAGTACTCCAGAGTGAAGTTGAATTTCCTCTCTATAATCCTTTACTGATAGGTTTATATATAAGTTTATTAGGTTTATCAATCTTCCTTAACACAGTTACATGCTATAAAACATCTGGTAAGGAAAAACAGAACACAGTATTTGACTTAATGCTAGTACAGTCAGGATATATATTTCTTATTATATTAGTAACAGACACAATTCCACAATACAATAAGTAAAAATGTTTCCCCTTAAAAGCAAAGTACTCCCTTCTTGGAAATAAATTACCCTGGTGAGGACCATCATGGGGCTCCCGAGAATAGGTAATTCACTTCAAATGAATGAACCCTCAACCAAAGGGAGAGTGCTTCTCCTGGTGAATTTTAAACTGTCGTTTCACTTTCTGCCTCAGTTTCCTTATTTAAAACATATGGTAATACACAGCCCTTTTACAAGTGGGGATAATACGAGTGTATTAACAGGCAAGTTATGAATATATTGACACAGATTTAAATCTCCCCACATGACAAATCCCATACACATGCTGAATAACAGACTCCAGCATTAAACTCATCTGTTTTTTTATTCACACTAACTTCTCAGCATTGTCTGAAACACACATGTGTACTAAACAAAAATCTCCCTGTATTTTACCACCTTAGGAACATCACTAGATAAGTATCTCTTGAGCTGAATACAAAGTATTCTGGGGTTGTTGGGCTTTTTCCCCTACTATAAAAAGACAATAACTGCTGGGGTCCTTTCGGTTAGAATGAGCAATTGACGTCTTTTTCAATTGTGCCGTACTTATAAAATTGAGCAGTTTATATTCATCTGGGTGCTTTGTTTATTCACTTCTGTGTGAGCTATTGTGAACTGGAACTTTAACATGTAGTTGCTTTTGCCATTCTTTAGTGAAAAGATTTGTAATGTGCACCTCCCCCACAGTACTTGAAAAATATACACTTTATTGACCCATTATTGGATGTTTTGTGGTTCCTGAGACAATTTTATATAATTACATTGTGAATTCTGGCTTGAGTTCAAGCATCTTTGAAAGTGAAGTTCTGGGGGCGCCTGGGTGGCGCAGTCGGTTGAGCGTCCGACTTCAGCCAGGTCACGATCTCGCGGTCCGTGAGTTCGAGCCCCGCGTCGGGCTCTGGGCTGATGGCTCAGAGCCTGGAGCCTGTTTCCGATTCTGGGTCTCCCTCTCTCTCTGCCCCTCTCCCGTTCATGCTCTGTCTCTCTCTGTCCCAAAAATAAATAAACGTTGAAAAAAAAAAAAAAGAAAGTGAAGTTCTGATTACTGACTTGTATGCATAACATAAGTAGGAGTAAATGAACACCTCCCTCAACCTTCCCCAGACACTCAGTTCTAACCTCATCTCCCCTTTCCTTTGCTTCCCTTTGAAACATGTAGAGTAAGGTCAGATTGTATTTGAGCATTTGGTAGTTAAGGATGTGTTTTATTTCCTCCCTCATTTGGCACCATTTGTTGTATCTAAACAGGTAATCTTTCCTCTTTGAGTCACCAGAAATAAAACACAGCCTCTCAGAAAGCGTTGGAGACTTTTAAAGGACCATTACTCTTCTAGACAGTGAATACACTGCTTCCGCAGAAAAAGAAAAGTATCTTGTCTCTCCCTGTCTCTCTCTCCCTCTCTCTCTTCTTCCTCTCTGTCTCTCCTCCTTGTATCTCTCTTTTGCATTGCATAATAAGAAATACTGTTGTATCATATACACTGATGGACCTTTCAGTGCAGAAAGGGAATGCAGGAAGAATCCACCAAATGCTGAGTGCTAACTAAACAGACCTCATTTCATCAAAAGGTTGCAGTTAATAGTAAGAGACTCACTAAGGTGTGGCATATGGACTCAAAGCCTTTGAGCAGGATGAAATTGAGTTGAATGTCAGCTGCTTTGCTTATGGACTATATGACATGCAACTTACAAAGAAACGTAGATGTGAATCTCAGTTTTTATATCAATAAAATGGGAATAATAAATTCTGCCTTGAATAACTGTTTTTCTTTGACACTTCTTCCTCGTAACTTTTGAACATAGACGTTCCTCAGACAAGGTGTCTCATGTCTCTGCGTGTATTCTGACTTGCTGAAGGATATCGTCCACTCGTGATGTTTTGACCCCATCTTTACACCATTAACTCCAAAATGTGTATCTACAGCCAAGACATCTCCAGACTCTGTCTATGTATCCCCACCAGCCTAGTTCACGTCTCCTAAAATTCTTAATTGTATCTCAAACTTAAACCAAACTATGGATCTCCCTCCTGACCTACAGCTGATTCCCTTCTGGGGCACCTGGGTGGCTCATTTGGTTAAGCATCTGACACTTGATTGCAGCTCAGCCCATGATCTCACAGTCATGAGTTTGAGCCCTGTGTCAGGCTCTGCAATGAACATGGAGGCTGCTTAAGATTCTCTCTCCCTGTCTCTTTGCCCCTCCCCCACTCGCTCGCTCTCTGTCTCAAAAGTAAATAAATTAATTAATTTAAAAAATGGATTACCTTCCAACATTCTTTTCCTCAGTGAAGAGGAAATCCTCCAATACTTAATTCAAAAACTGGAGATAACTGGAGTTATCTCGGACATTTGTCTTTTAAATGTCTCTCAAAATCTGTCCAGTTGTGTCTGTCTTTCTTCCAACAAACTGATTCCAAGAACCATCACTCTGTGCCTCCCTAGAGAGACACAACATGTGTTTAACTGACATTTTCACGCAGTGGGTTTTTTTGGTTTAGGGGGTTTCTTTTATTTTAGAGAGAAAGGGAGAGGGAGTGCATGCTGGCGAGAGGGGAAAAGGAAGAGAGAGAAAGAGAGAGAGAGAGACAGACAGACAGAGACAGACAATCTCAAGCAGGCTCCATGTTCAGCACAGAGTGCAACTCGGGGCTCAATTCTATCACCCTGGGATCATGACCTGAGATGAAATCAAGAGTCAGACACTCAACCGACTGCACCACCCAAGCACCCCCACATAGTTTAATACTCCTTACAATAGAGTGATCTTTTAAAATGCAAACCTGATCATATTATATTCTGTCTTAAAATCCAATTGTAAAATAGTTAATGTGCATTGAACATTCAGTGTGTTCTAGATCTTGCCTTAAGGATTTTACGTAAGTCACCTCATTCTATACATAAGATGGGAATTGTTGTTATTATTACTAAATTGTTATTATTATATTCATTTTATAGCTGAGAAGACTGAAACACTAAGAGACTAAGAAACATGCTCATGGAAACCCAGCTGCTAAGTGGAAGAAGCAGGTCATAGTCTAGGTTTAGAGTTCACATCCCTAACAAGACACTACACTGTTGCCCAGTATCTCCTGTTCATTCTTGAGAATAGACAAAGATTTAAGAATATCTAGCTACAATGCTCTTATTAAACCCATCTTGCAATGTGTGTGATTGACTTGTAGATTGCAAGAACCCATTCATAAATTTTCAGGAATATTGCAAGCTTATTGGTAAGCATAGCCATTATTAAAAACGAAATTTTAGGGGCCCCTGGGTGGCTTGGTCGGTTAAGTGTCCGACTTCGGCTCAGGTCATGATCTCACGGTCCGTGAGTTCGAGCCCCGCGTCGGGCTCTGGGCTGACAGCTCAGAGCCTGGAGCCTGCTTCAGATTCTGTGTCTCCCTCTCTCTCTGACCCTCCCCCGTTCATGCTCTGTCTCTCTCTGTCTCAAAAATAAAATAAAAACGTTAAAAATTAAAAAAAAAATAAATTTTATTAACTTACAATTAAATAAATTTTCTTAAAACTGAAGGCAAAGATAATAATTACTCAAAGCTCATCATTTCCTGCTTATCTTTTGCTCTTGAGGTTATGTCTCAGCATAGTAAAAATACAATATAATGGTGAGCTACCGGAAATCTCTTCCCAATTCCGTGTTCATATGATACTGCTCATGGTTGGGGCATTAACTGCATAAAAACTGTAAATGTTTCAAATCAGGACTTTGTTCATCATTTTTGCTCTAGGCTTAAGAAAATAATGGAGAAAAATATTAATGATAACTGAGTAAACTTAAGATGTTTGCTGACTATTGACATTGTATTGTGACCAGCACAAAAAAATTGAGGAGATACACTTTCAGTATTCAAAGATTAGTATCCAAATCAGTAAAGGTGTTTCTCATACCATCAACGAATGAGTGAAGTTCTGACACGCATATTTGTTTCATTTCCATCTTGCTCTTTCCTGTAAATGAAAACATCAGCTAACAGTCATGTTGGAATCATATTCTCTCATCAGTTGCAACTATTGTCTATGGACACACTAGATGGGCAAAAATCAATAAAAGTATTCTGTGAAAATCAATTACATGGAATTGATTTTAATATTATCTAAAACATGTAAGCTATTCTATATACATTTAAATATAAAGCATTTTATGAATTCTGAAATATTGTTCAGATAACCTAAGATGTATCTTCCTTTTAATAAATTTGACAAAATTGGTAAATCCTTACTGCAAGGTGTTTTGAAAGCTATAAATCATGCACTTTGTAAACAAAAGAGACTCTTCTTTTTATTTTTTCATATATCCCACAGGTTTTTATAGAACTTATAGACTTGATAACTATGTGATATGTTCCAAAGTATTCTATAAACTTGACATGTTCTTGTTTGACATTGATCTCCAGCAAGAAACCAGGCAGGGAACTTAAAGAGATGATTTATGAGTATAGAAAAAAATGAATAACCATCACCAGAAGACAGCCTGTGTTTATTTGACTCAAGTAATGGCAGACTAACTATATTCAAACACTTTGAAAAGAGATGAGACTCTTGTATTGTTGAAATGCAATATTTATGTAATATATTTTTTGTCTCAATAAAGCATTTGACAGATTCAAGACACTGGGTAAACAAAATGTTGAAATATGGATTGAATAATAGCACCAATGAACATAATTAGGAGACATATATCAAATCAACACACTTTGCATGAGTTGAATTTATGCAAGAAAATAGAATGAGTAGACCTGATGAGGAGGGGATTTTCTATTACCAGATGTTTGTTTAACCAATACATGCATGCAAGCTGGACATACCTATATAATAGAAGGGTTAAGAAGGTTGTATGAGGTTGGCCTAGAATCCATTTCAACGGGCCCTTTATGTTCTTAAGATGGTTTCAAATGTCTGTGTAAATTGTAAAATATTTATTTCTAAAATAAGGTGTTTTAAGTTTTTTTCTATGAAAACATTATGATAGCTAAAGATGTATATAACCCCATTCTAGAATTTGACCAAGTAAATTAGTCACTGGGTTAGTTTTAAATGCTAAGCACTGCACCTGGTATCTCAGAAGTATCCTAGATGATGAATATATTATTCTCAAAAGACAAGATGGGAATCAGATCAAATGTTATTATCCTTATATAAAAATAGACTCATTTTTATCCTCTAGGATTCAACAGGGACTTGGAAGTCAGTACACTATGCTTCTGTTTTGTTTGAAGCACTTTCAACACCTTGATTTGATAATCCAGGAGTTGAATATTCTTGAAACATTTTACTCTTGGAAAGAAATGTTCACATCAAATTACTAATTTTGGATTACTATTTATCATAATCTGTACCCCCCCCAAAAAAAAAGAAAAGAAAAGAAAACACTGGAAGGAACTGAAAGTACCAAATATCATAGAAGGCCTGTCAATGGAAAAGGATTACCTTTAAATTCTAAATGCAGAAATTTGTCATAATTACTATCACTATAAGAAAATAAAAGTAATAAAAATAAGTGCATGAAAGTGAAGCATGTTGTAAAACATCTCAATCACCAGAAAATATTAAAAGGTAGAAATAATAACACCATATCTTGGTGCTGATTAGCAATTAGATTTCAAAGTTTTTAAACTCCATCTGGTCCTAAAGTGTGGGTAACTCTAAGTTTCGATTACTTAGAACCGCATTCAGCTTCAAATAATAGAAAACCTAAGCAACGATTTGTCCACAAATAGAGATCTGTTTTTCCAACAGAACAGAATGTCCAGAGGAAGGAAGTTACTTGTCTTGCTTTCTTTGTTCACTGTTGCCATCAAACACTCTACTTTTCTGCTTTGTTGCCTCAATGTGTTGGCTTCTCATTCTCTTGAATTGTATCTCGTAATCACAACCAATCAGCCACAAATCTCTGCCTAAAACTTTGTGCTCAAAATTTCGAAGTACAAAAAAACAAAAAACAAAAAACAAAAAAACAGGCTAAGAATTCAGGGCAAGTGGGAATTTAGTATTTCCTATTAATAGAGAGGGTAATGATGTTTCTAATATTGTGAAAGTATTTTTACAGAAAATAGAAAATAAACAAATACTTTCAATTTGATAGCAGTTGGTTTCAACTGCTTAGTAGTTCCAGTAAACCATCATCCTTGGCTACAGAATCAATATGTTTTAGTTCTGGCATGAATCTCATGGGTCATCTGGCCCAGCGTCTTACTTTAAAGATAAAGAAAACTGGGATAGAGACAACTTAAATTATTTGTTCAAGATCATACATGCTACAAAGTTGTGGGTAAACAGCAGTCACAGATTGCTAGCAAGAACATATTTTTTAGGTACCCATAGAGATCTGTACACAGACACATAAAAAGACTCACAGTCTAATGGCTGGATTGGAAAGCATCCAGCGTATTGTAATGGTACTGAGATCTATGTGGGAAACATATTCAGAATTTCTTTTTATCCTCATCCAGATTTTAATACTAGATTTAAACGTTCTGCATTAAATAATTGATTCCCAGTCTTTGCAGGTGGGATTTAGTACAGTAACACAAAATAATAGGGAAACGGCATTTAGCAGCATCATTGTTATTTGCCTTTCAATTTTTTTTTTCTTTTCATTTGAGTTGATCTGTGTTTTTAAATGTTACCTTTGGAAAATCTGTCCACAAAGCATTGGAAAAATAGGGAACTATATTTAAATGGTATAATTGTCAAGGAACCCATGTGTAATTGTGCCATACTGAAGCAGAAAGTATTGAGTCACATCCACAGATGATATTTTATAATAGGCATTAAGAAATTTAAAAGTATGTAGACTTATTGGCAGCAAATTACCCATAAGTTGGAGGGGATGATTGGCGCAGAACAAAAAGGTCAATTGTGCTTGGAAAACACATCCTTCCCGTAAGACAGCCCCCAAGTAAAGCCACAAAGCAGACATGTGTGAACCTTGAAATAAGCAGTATTTTCAAATAAGTGAAGTAATTGTATATGAATTCATTGTGTACATAAGTGTAGCACCCTACCTGTATTAGAACTGAGAGCTATAAAACCAGAGAGGCATGTTATGGAATCAGAATAACCTGAAAATGGGTTGACGATCTCAGCTGCCTCGTGTGTAAACTGGGAATAATAACAGTATTTACTTCACTGTGCTGTTATGAGAACAAAATGAGATAAGGCAAAGCAAAGCACCCAACACAGGGGCTGGCATATAGTGAGCACTCAGTGACTATCAGTGGTTACTATTATTACAAAGCCACATCCTTCCCTTCCCAGGGAACCAATGACACAACCTGGAAAGATGAGCTGCTGGTAACTCACAGACATGAAAACGTGACACACCGGATCTCGGCACCCTTGGCGTCTACCTAAAGACTTTTTACATGTCTTAAACATCACTTCCTTGTTCACAGGTGCTAAGGGACAGTAGCATTGAAATGGTATTCAACGGTGTCATAGTCCTGTCATTCTATTAACTGTCTTTAAGCCAATGGGATTTATGGAGGATAGAGAGGTTTATTATCTTATTATCCAAAATATATTCCATGGTGTGTAAGTCAAACTTACAATTTGAGCATCAAATAGTGTTGGCTATTCTTTATTCTCATTTTATTCCAGTGCAGAGTACGCCAGATATGCTAAAAGTACTGGCCAGAAAAGCATTCTATTTAACCAGCATTCTCATTGGAAATAGTGATCCTCCAAATATAGCTCTCCATTGATTTTTACCACCACAGTGATAAGTCATCAAGTATCAGTGCCACTTAGGCAGTGTGGCTGTGTGTGTGTGTGTGTGTGTGTGTGTGTGTGTGTGTGGTGATGAGTATGTGTATGATTGAGAGAGAGAGAGAGAGAGAGAGAGAGAGAGAGAGAAGAGATTGAGAAACAGAAAGAGACATTGAGTGGGGGGAAATCTGTGTTTATTATATTATTGCTTTTTTCATCCTAAGATGACTCCGTTTGGTGCTGTGAAATTTTTAAGTGCCAACCAAGATGCAAAACCATCACTGTCACACAGAATAAACCCTTAAATGAGCAGATGCAGTTGTGTTTGTCTAATATGCTATTATTGATATGTCATTATTTCTGTCTACCTTTCTCTCTGGGCATTGATCACTTTTGCTCAAATTGAACACTCTTAATTTGTCCTATTTATGCCATAAGAAACAGCAACTTACATCACTTGCCCTTCAGTATTCCTCAGCTAAGCTTCATGTCTTCTAATAAATCATTCTTCCTTGATGGGGGGGCATATTTTATTCATCTTTGGGTCTGCAGAGCTTGGTATAGTGCTGCTGGTTCACAGTAGACACTGAATGACTAGCCACCATATTGAATTGAACTATACCATTTAAAATTGTCTTTAGGCAAGGGTTTTTATATCTACCCCCTCTGGCTTTTCTAATTGAATTCAAATAATTTGAAGTGAAGTTTCAATTGTTGTAGAGGGGTGGCATTTCCATCCTTAATTACCAGTGACCTACTCTTATCTATCGATGTTAACTCTGGTCTTTTAATGTCAAACATGACATTGATCCAGAAGCCAAATGTGATTCCTTCAGTTTGGATAAGAGCCTGAACCTATATTGTTTTGGATGACATTATCATACATGAACCTTAAACATGCTCTTTATGGTAATGCAAACTTCCTAGTCTAGAAACTCTAGCATAGTTTCTACCTTAGAGGCAAGATGGAAACATCATCCTTACTGTTGTATCTCTCATTGTTTCAACATCTGTAGCATGGTAAATTTCTGCATGTTCTTCCTATTTTTTTCTCTCAGGAAAGGGGCTGTGGAAAAGGTATTTTAACATTCATATTTTCTAGTGAATGTTATTAAAATTCTATTAATTCTAATATTTACTATTGTTGTAGTAATCTTTTATTAATAAATAAGATCAAATTGCAAAATTTAATGATTAATTTTCTCCCCTAATTTATTAGACTGTTAACAAATTGTCATCCA